GATGATTGCAGGGCTCAGTTTATAACACTGTTTCTATTCTGCTTCCCTGCCCAATCCTACCTGGCTCTCTATGGTCAATCTGGAGACTACTTTTCACTACTCTTTCAAGGCCATAGGTTCTTATTTTTTAAATCCCATGACTTAAAAAAATTTTTTTCATGAAAGGATATGTAAAAATAAAAATATGACATAATCTCACCACCATGGTTCAATTTTGATATGTATCTTCCTGCTTGTACAACTAATTTTTAAAAATTGGGATTATATTCAAGAAGTGATATTTTCTATACTGTCTAGTCTTGAATTTTGGTGTAATTATCTACATGGCTGTATAACTTTGAGTGAATTACATGAATTCTCTATGGTTTAATTTCCTTACTTTTAAAATGAGATAATAATAGTACCCACCCCTACAATTGACAGAAAGTATATTGAGTTATATAATAGACAGTACTTAGAACAGTGGCTGGAACATAATAAGTACTAAAAAATGTTAATGAATATTGGTATTTTTATTAAATGAGTACTATTTTTTAACCTGCTTTTAAAAAATACACTGTATTTTCTCATGTTATTCATGAGTAATACATGACTTTATTGCCTGACACCAAATTCATTGTATGACTATATTTAATCAATGTCCCATTGTTGGACATCTATTATTTTCAGTGTTTTGCATGGTAAATAACCCTGTAGTAAACATTCTTGTGCATGAATCTTTGGCCACATCTCTAATTATTTCCTAAGGCAACTTCATAAAAATAGAATGCTAAATCAGAGTACTAGCCTTTTTTAGGTTTTTGCCAAAATGCCCTCTAGAAATGTCACGTGAATTTGTACTTCTATTGTATGAGACAGCTCATTTCCCCATAGCCTTCTCAGCACTGGATATTATGATTTTAAAAGTTTCTTGCCAGGCTATAGCTTTTGTAATCAGATGGTGCTCTGTAGTTTCCAAAGCTCTTCTCTTCTGACTGTGTTCATTGTTTCTAATACCAACTCATTCTTGAGTTATTTTTCCTTCTATTTTAATCTACCATGTCCTCTAATCTTAAATTCCTGCCTTATTACTATTCCAAACATTTTCTTTCCTTTCTCATTTACTCACACCATTTTCCTTCTGTTCACTGGAGTTAGACTACAGTGTTCTGTTTATACATTTGTAAGTAGGGAAAAGCCACTAGACCATTCATGTATAACCTAAATCAAATCCCTTACAATTATACAGTGGAAGTGAGAAAGAGATTTAAAGGACTATATCTGATAGAGTGCCTGATGAACTATGGATGGAGGTTCATGACATTGTACAGAAGACAGTGATCAAGACCATCCCCCCAAAAAAAGAAAGCAAAAAAGCAAAATGGCTGTCTGAAGAGGCCTTACAAATAGCTGTGAAAAGAAGGGAAGTGAAAGGCAAAGGAGAAAAGTAAAGACATACTCATTTGAATGAAGAGTTCCAAAAAATAGCAAGGAGAGATAAGAAAGCCTTCCTCAGTGATCAGTGCAAAGAAAAATAGAGGAAAACAATAGAATGGGAAAGACTAGAGNGTTCAGACAGTGTTAAGAGCCCTGATACGTAAGAGTTGAACCCTGAAGAGTAGGTTGGGGCAAATTATGAAGGACTTTAAAAGATGTGGCAAGACTTGAACTCTCCCCGCTTCATCATGATCAGCCACTGGACAGGAGATTGAAACATTCAGAGTCCAATTTCAAATTCGAAATGATAGTGATGGGACTTGAGGACTCCTGGAGTCTTGAAGAGCTGATGAGAGTCTCAACAGTGAGGATGAAGGAAAGGAAAGCTCTCTGCAGGAACCACTGACAGGACTTTTTTGACTCATGGGGTGGAAAAATGGGAAGAGTCTGGGGACTATGCCAGGGTTTCTAAATTATACTCATAAATGGATAATGACCAATAGCCAAGTTAGGGCATATAGGAGAATGCACCAGAGGGGGAAGAATGATGGAAAGGCTTGTGGAATATTGAATGGGCTATTTTAGGTGCGTCCCTCAGGCCCAAAATCATGGCTGGAATCGCTCATCCAAGTGGCAGTGAAACCTGCGTCCAAACTGAGTTAAATAGACAAGGTTAACTTTGCCATAGATATAAACAGATGTCCTATTAAGCAATATATAGATATATATTTACATAATATATGTTATATATAAATATATTTAGATTATGTGACATACAATATATAACATAAATATATATTAGAATACTATCAGGATATACTTTTTCCTGCATTCTGGGGATCTGACTGACATCTAACACTAAGGCATCCAACATAATGATATGGTATATGTATATATTGTGAAACGGTCATCACAGGTTACATTAACACCTCCTATGATGCTGGGAAAGATTGAGGGCAGGAGGAGAAGGGGACGATAGAGGATAAGATGGTTGGATGGCATCACCGACTCAATGGACATGAGTTTGAGTAAACTCCAGGAGTTTGTGATAGACAGGGAGGCCTGGCGTGCTGTGGTCCATGGGGTCATAAAGAGTCAGATACGACCGAGGGACTGAACTGAACTGAATGTGGTCAATATGGTCGATGGATACCTCAGGAAGATGGGAACTTCTTTTTCCCATTGAGCCCAGGTCTAAGTAAAACTGAAGCCATCCCCCAAAAGACTCATCTACTTTATAAAGAAATAAGATTCCTGTTGCCTGGAATATTTCAGCCATGTGGACAAGCTTCTGAAAACTGTAGAAGGTATTCTTGCTCTGGGCAGTAGTCAGTCTATATATCAGTGTCCACCCAGTAAAACAGAAACCACTCTAAATATTTAAACATAGAAGGAATTTAGTTCAGGGAATTGATTACACCAGTGACTAGAAAGCTCAGAAGCCAAAAAGATGTTGAGGCATCACTGAGATTACTAACATTGGGAAGCCAGTCTGACCCCTAGGGCTGAGGGAGTTGGCAAGGTCCCCTGGAGGAACCTGCAGCCACGATGGGCCTTCCTGGAGCTGGACCACAGAGGTGATGGAGGTACTTCTGACCACCACGGGAGGCCTAGAGGGGAGAAACACCCAGGTGTTTCTGTTCTCCCTCTCCAACCTCCTTCCAATGTCACCCAGTGGCAAATTCAATTAGAAGCCAGTTGACACAGATGTCTGTGGAATTACATGCAGCCGGTGGCCAATCCCACTGTGATACAGAGTGGAGTCAGGTAAGGGGGAGGAGAGGATGTGAGGGCGAACAGGCCAAGGCCTGAAACAGATTCCTGGAGGCCCTCCCAGGCCACAGACAACAGGGAGAAGTGCAAGGCCTGGAGAGGTAGGCCGTCTTGGTGTGATCCGGGCCCTGTCGTTCACTAGCTCTGAGAATTTGGCCAAGTCACTTAACTCCTCCAAGCCTCAGTTTCCTCATCTACAAACGGGGGCAAGAGAAACCACATCTCACAGGTCATTGTGAAGATTTAATGCAGTAATAATTGTAATATAAGTATTCAGCAACAATTGATTTCCTTTCATCAAAGAATTTATGATTTTTAATATCAAGGGCAGCTGGGCATTTGGTCAAAGTCATTAAGCTTCTTTGAAATATTTTGAAAGAAGGAATTTTCCTTTTGGAAACTTCATCGGAGGGATATGATAAATTGCACTATAATGATACTGGGGGATGATTTAAAACACATGAGGGTATCATGCGTGATTGATTCATTCATTTCACAAGCATTTATGGGGACTCACTATTTTTTTTCTGGAAACTAAGATTTGGATATGGTTTCTGCCCTCAAGGAGATGGCAGCTGATGGACCAGAGATGACTTGCGTTGTATGATGGTGTGGGAATGCTCACAGAGGAGGGAGCAATGGGATAGCTCTGTCAAGGGAAGTGGGAGAAGCTTCAGCGGGTGATGATAGTGGAGTTGCATTTTGAAGGATGAAGAGGAGTTTCCCAGATGTAGAGTCATGTGCAAAAGTGTAGAGTTACAAAAGGGCACAAGATAGTAGTAGAATGGTGCGATCTTCACATGGATGGGGCCTTGAGGGGTCCATAGTCATGGTGGTGGTTAGAACAAGTGGCAGATATGGCTAGAAATGAAAGAGAAAGCCAGTGCATGAAGGGCCTGGAATAGAAGTTAATGACTTTATCCTATGGAGAAAGGAAAGCCAGCAGAAACTTTTAAACTAGGGAATCTCCCACCATTTATGACCTAGAATTTCATGAAGTGATACATCATCCCAGTCTCTCTCATGGCCTCAACCAAAGGGCTGATGCAATGCTGATATATAAATCAAGGGACATATCCACATCTCATAAGAGATTAGAAATCATGAATCTGAAAAATGAGCACAAGGGTTTCCCCTTAATATTAAATTCAGGGTGGAAAAAGTCATTAACTTATCCTGCAGATGCTGAAGGGCTCAAGGTAAATATTTAAAATATTCTCCTTTCCACAAATTCAAGAATGTCAGAGGTGTGAAGATGATGCTTGTGGCTATGAGACAGGATTTCAAGGATGCTGATGAAATGTCTGCTGGCAGGAACTGCCTGAATTCTGAAAAGGAACTTGTGTAATATAATAGAAAGGAAAACACAAAATGATAATGATATAGTCCAGGTGGGTCAAACAGTAAAGAATCTGCTTGCAATGCAGCATACCAGGGTTCCATCCCTGGGTAGGGAAAATCCCCTGGAGGAGGAAGTGGCAACCCCCTCCAGTATCCTTGCCTGGTCAGTTCCATGGCCAGAGGAGCCTGATAGGCTACCATCCATGGGATCGCAAAGAGTCAGACACGACTGAGCGACTTTCACTTCAATTCACATGCTTTCCAGAGCCCTTTCATGTAGATTATTTCATTTAAGCCCTCATGACAGTGGTGTGCCATGAGTACAGTCCCATTCTGGAGATGAAGAAATGGAAATCTGAGGGTTTCAGAGCTTCCTAGGATCTGTGAAGAAGTTACACCCAAGGCTGTAGCTGGACTTCTAGACACACAGGACAGCGCCTTCTCTGAGCCCTGGACACTGCTCTGCTTACCTGTCTCCTCCCGTACGCCAGGATGGCTTCTTTGAGGTCCTGAAGTGTGCGCAATTCAAGATCTGGCCTCTTCCTGCAGCCTTTGGGGCAGTAGGGGCCTTTTCTCCTCTCTTCGGGGGTCCATGCTGAAATAGCCAAACCTTCCGAGTAGAGGATCAGGGCGCCTTTTCTAGTGCTGAATGTTTTAGGAAGAAAGAGGCTCCATGTGCGCTGGTCAGCGTTGCCCTCATCCTGTGGTTTGCTGACCAGGATGTAATCTTCCGGGGACTTCCAGTTCAAGTAATCCTGCAGTGGAAACAAGGCACTTTAAATTGGCCCACAGTGGAAGGCCCTTTCACAGCAAATACTGCCTGGACAAGTGTTTAACATGTTGTCTGTGACTGGTTTTCCCTGAATTGCTCACATGGTGTCACGAACACAGTCCTTTTTTTTTTTTCATTTATTTGTTTATTTTTTAACACTGAAAACATTTTGTATTGGGGTATAACCAGTTAACAATATTATGATAGTTTCAGATGAACAGTGAAGGGACTCAGCCATATATATACATGTATCCATTCTTTTCCAAACCCCTAGTCTCCTTTTAGCAAGTGATTTTGTTCTCCACCTCTCAGAGTTAGTAGAACCCAGGGCATGGTTCTCTTTAACCCCATATAACTTTCAAGAGAGACTTTTTTATGCCTGGAGGCTTGAATAGGGTAGAATGTGGCTTCTAGGCCAGTTAAAATTTCCTGGTATGCAAGAAAGTAGTCAGAATTACCAAGGGCAGCAGATAACTTTGAAATTAGACCTGGAGTAGCTGGCAGTTTAAATGGGAGAAAACCATTCCAACCCATCGCTTCAGCTGTATGCAGGGAGAATTCCTATACATTCCAGATGCTATGTAAAGTTACCTAATTTGGCTGTTTAGGAGCCTATAAAGTAGTTACATATCTTGTAAGTAAGTGAATGCCATTGGCCACAGAGGTCCTTTGAAACTTTATATGTCTTTTAATACAGCGAAGGTCAAATATCATGACAAACTACCATGACAATGGAACTCTCTGTGTGATTCAAAAATTTTCAAAGCACCCCCAGTGGATTTCTTATTCCTGGCAGGATTCAATGAAATAAAATTCCAGTACAACAAAGGAATTTTGCCACCTCTTTAAAAATCTTCTAAAATGAAAAAAAAAAAAAAAAAAATTTTTTTTTTGCTTATATTAAATATGAGTCCTTGTGGGTTGAATTCCAGAAGTTTGAAGGAAGCCATTGAATTGGCAAGAACATACTCAGCATTTAACCACAGAACACGATGTCTAAAAACCCAAACATCCATCAGCTTGCCTAGAACCCAGGTGGAAATTCTGGTCTTGTACCAAACCGCCCCAATTCTAGACCACGTGGAATCTCCTCTGGTCTAAAGCAAATGAGGCCATAAATCAGTGAGGGACGGGGAGGACAAGGGCCCAGGTGGCAACTTCCGTGGGTCAAGCAAACTACCTTATTTTCTTGAGTTTCACCAAGGAGGACGGATGATCTCTCGGCGACCCCCACCACCTCAGAAACAAAACCAACCAACACACAGAGGGCTCAGCCCCAAGTGGAAAAACAGAACATTCCCCTCCCATCCCCCAAATACGCTTTTATTCATTGGTAAGACTCACCTCCGGTTCAAAATAGACTTCCAACTTCTGTTTGTTCTGGACCAGCTTGCCATGTCCCCGGCTCAGGAGGGAGAGGGTGAACATGGTTTTCCTCTGAGCACCCTTCTCAAGGGCAGTTCATGTTGGTTTTGAAGGCTGAAAGCTGGTCACACCTCAGGGTTTCCTGAGCTCAGCAGTGAGCCCAAGAAGACCACAAACACTGGGCCTTTGATGAAATACATTTTTTCACTCGTCCAGCAGCTTCTTAATAACAACTAGCCACACAGTTTAGACAGTGTGTGTCTTTGTCGGGAGAAAAAACAAACCACACACCCAGACTCCTCAAGCCCTGGACTGTCTGCTCTCTGGGCAGCCCTCTCCCTCCCCTTCGCCGGCACCCTTGTTGTGCCCCGGTCCCGTTGCTCGGGTACCGGCCGTGTGCATCGGCAGATCCGGGCCACAGGCACCCTCCTTCTCACTGGGCCCGGAGGTTGTTTCCTGGTTGCCATGGCAGCACGGGGACGTGAAGTCCCTTAAGCCGGACTAGGCAAGGCAGTTCACACCCTGTGGGGAGGGAGGGTCACGTGGACATCGAAGGGACCAGGCTCAGATTTCAAGTCCTGATTTCGGGGGCGAGGGGCATGTTGGGACACTTTTTGCTGTTACAGGACTTGTCTTGCTGGTGGACAGTGTCCCCCCCTCTTTGGACATGAGAGCCTTTCACCGTCAACCAAGCATTAACAGACTCAGAGGAGTCGTCTAGGTCACCTAAAGCGACCCGTGACGTTTTCCTTGGCTGAGCTCCAGCGTCTTCTCAGCTGGACATGAGGCCCCTTTTTCGGGTGGTTGCTGCTTTGCAGGAACGAGTGCAGGACGCCTGGACTCTCGAGATTCCTCTGCACACCTGGGTCTCACTTGGGCAACTTCCATCTCTAGAGGGTCTTCTGCGGTGGCTCAGATAGTAAAGAATCTGCCTGCAATGCAGGAGATCTGGGCGTGATCCCTGGGTCAGGAAGATCCCCTGCAGGAGGAGATGGCAACCCACTCCAGTATTCTTGCCTTGAAAATCCCATGGACAGAGGAGAGGGGCCTGGTGGGCTACGGTCCACGGGGTCACAAAGATTTGGATACGACTGAGCGACTAACACTTTCACTTTCATCTCTAGAGGGAGGGGGTACTTGGGAGATGTGGGTAGTGGGCATTTGGGTTGTCACAATGACTGTCTGCTCTCCTGCCTAATGAGGAAGTGTCTCACTCTGCGGGCCGAAGTCATCCCCTTGGAGAAACACTGCTGTGACCTGGGCTGCTTGTTCTTGATGCTGACGCCATGAGGAGGACAGGACTAAGGGGAAGTGGCCAGGGGAAAAAGAGGCCCTTTTGCAGGTGATCTGGGACTCTACTTCAGTCTGGAAAAGCGACCTGTCCTGTCATCTGTTATCGGAGTCGTCCACGCAGTCCTGCGGGAGTGCTCCCTGCTGACCTGGAGGAAGAAGTGCATCTGGACCCAGGCCCACGTACTGTCCCGTCTCCTGTGGCTGTCACTTTTCTGGGAGGCAGGCTCAAGTCTCATAAGGAAGAAATAGAGGTCATGGTGTATAATGAGATTGGATTTATCACGAGGAATCAAGGAAGTGAATGCAGAGACTCAAAATGGAATTTAGTCAAAACCACCATGGATACCACTTCGACAGTCCTTGCATGCTATGTGCTAAGTCGCGTCAGTCATGTCTGACTCTTTGCAACTCCATGGGCTATAGCCCACCAGGCTTCTCTGTCCATGGGATTCTCCAGGCAAGAATACTGGAATGGGTTGCCATTTATTCTTCCAGGGGATCTTCCTGACCCAGGGATCGAACCTGGGTCTGTTACATCTTCTGCATTGGCATTGTCAGGCAGGTTCTTTACCACTAGCACCATCTTAGAATGACTATTAAAAGAAAATAAAAACAAACAGAAAAAGTCCAGAAAATAACAAGTGTTCTGAAGATGTGGAGAAATTAGGATCCTTGTGAACTGTTAGTGGGAATATCAAATGATGCAACAGGTGTGGAAAACAGTATGTCAGGAGTTCTCTGGTGGCCCAGTAGTTGAGACTCTGGGCTTCCACTGCCAAAGATCGGATTCAGTCCCTGGTATGGGAGCTAACATCTACAAGCCACTTGGCGTAATACATAAACAAAAAACTGTATGACAGTTACTCAGAAAATTAAACATAAATTACCATATGATCCAGCAATTCTACTTTTGGGGATATGACCCAAAAGAAGGGAAAGCAAGGACTCATATATTGGAACATCCATGTTTATAGCAGTGTTATTCACAATAGTTGAAATGTGAGAAAAATTCAAGTTTTCACTTGACAGATGATAGATGAATGGAAAAACAAAGTGTGACAAACAGAATATTACTCAGCCTTGAAGAGGAAATAAATTTGGATACATGCTACAATATAGATGAACTTTGAAGACATTGTTGTTGTTCAGTTGCTAAGCTGTGTCCAACTCTTTGTGACCCCGTGGACTTCAGCACACCAGGCTTCCCTGTTCATCATTATCTCCCAGAGTTTGCTCAGATTCATGTCTATTGAGTCAATGATGCTATCTAACCATTTCATCTTCTGCTACCCCTTTCACCTTTGTCTTCTCTCTTACCCAGCACAGGATCTTTTCCAAAGAGTCAGCTCTTTGCATCAGGTGGTCAAAGTATCGGAGCTTCGACATCAGTCCTTCCAATGAATAGTCAGGGTTCATTTCCTTTAGGATTGAATGATTTGATTTCCTTGAAGACATTATGCTGAATGAAATGAGACAGTCACAAAGGAACAAATATTGTCATTGTATGATTCCAATTGTATGCGGCAAATACTTTGAATAGTTGAATTCATAGGGACAGAAACTAAAATGATGTTTCCCAGGAGAAGTGGGAAAAGGAATGGAAAGTTAGTGTTTAATGGGTACAGAGTTTGAGTTTTGGAAGATGAAAAAGTTCTGGCAATGGGTGGTGGTGATAACTGTACAATAATGTGAAAGTACTTAATGTCAATGAATGGTACATTTAAAAATTAAAAATGATGAATTTTATGTTATGCATACTTTAGATTTTGAGCTAAAATCTAAAAAAATGTAGAGCAAAGAAAATAAAAAACTGGATATAACACTTTGTAATCTGAAAGCCATTGGTCAGCATTATTATAGAGTGAACTCCTTACAGCAGATGAGACAAAATTCTACAAAATGAGAGTTCCAAATAGTTTCCAGAGCTTTTAAGCTACTGATGTTCTCTCCCATGGGCTTCCCAGTTGGTGCTAGTAGTAAAGAGCCCGTCTGCCAATGCAGGAGACATAACAGACATGAGTTGGATCCCTGGGTTGGGAAGATCCCTTGAAGGAAGGCATGGTAACCCACTGCAGAATTCTTGCCTGGAGAATCCCATGGACAGAGGAGTCAGGCGGGCTACAGTCCACAGGGTCACAGAGTCAGACACAAGTGAAGTGCATGCATGTTCTCTCCTATCATCTTCTCCATCCCTGAAAGGGTCAAAAGGACCTTTCAACAAAACTCTACTGGAAGATTACTACATGTGAGATATGGTCTCTGCCCTCAAGAAGCTCCCATCAGGGTGAGAAGACAGGTGTGGTGTCCAGCATCTGAAAGATGATGTGACAACAGTGATTTGGAGGTGGAAATGAGCAGATGCTCTAGGAAAAGAAGCGAGGGTGGTGGTGTGATGCATGGTGATGGTGGGGTGATGCATGGTGATGGTGGGGTGATGCATGGTGGTGGGCCTTTTAGAAGGCCATGAGGATGAGGGATATTAGAAGTGGGCTTTAATGGACATTCGTGGAGGTGAGGAGGTGAGGAGGGAGGATGAGAGAGGCAGGAGCCATGGACAGGAAAGTCTGAGATCTCTGGGGGAGGGCCACTTTCTTTGGTGTAGCCAGCTTCTTTGGTGTAGCCACAACTTTGGCTCTCATGGACAGAGATGAAGCTGGAAAGATGGGCCAGCTAGCCAAGACCACGAAGGCACCATGTCCCTGTGAAGGCATCTTGGACATCATTCTTCAAGTAGGATTTTGAAAACAGGGGATTGTTGTGATTCTACCTGGAGTTTAGAAAGATAACTCTGAGAACAGTATAAAGGATGGATAGAACGAGGGATGTTAGCTTATCATAAACTTCTGGGTGAACTTTTAGGACCTTGCATCCCACGCCAAACTTCCCCTGGATTTGAATGAATTTGTCAAATAGGCCAGGAATAGTCATTTGCTAAATAGCCTTTGAGTGAGACAGAGAAGGGAAAATTCCATACCAAGTGTAATGATATATAATGTTGCCATTTCACATGCTAGCAGGGTTATGCTCAAAATCCTTCAAGCTAGCCTTCAGCAATATGTAAACCAAGAACTTTCAGATGTACAAGCTGGATTTAGAAAAGGCAGAAGAACCAGAGATTAAATTGCCAACATCTGTTGGATCATAGAAAAAGTAAGAGAATTCCANAAAAAGCAGAGGCATCACTTTGCTGACAAAAGTCCATATGGTCAAAGTTATGGTTTTTCCAGTAGTCATGTATGGATGTGAGAGTTGGACCATAAAGAAAGCTGAGCATCCATTATTAGAGAAATGGAAATCGAACTACAATGAGATATCACCTCACAATTGTCAGAATGGCCATCATCAAAAAGTCTACAAACAATAAATGCTGGAAAGGGTGTGGAGAAAGGGAACTCACTTGCACTGTTGGTGGGAATATAAATTGATACAGTCACTATGGAAGAGGCAATATGGAGATTCCTTTAGAAACTAGAAATAAAACCACCGTATGACCCAGCAATCTCACTACTAGGAATATACTCTGAGGAAACCAAAACTGAAAAAGACATGGGCCCCAATGTTCATTGCAGAACTATCTACAATAGCTAGAACATGGAAGCTAGAGGTCCATCAACAGATGAATGAATAGTGAAGCTGTGGTACATATATACAATAGAATATTACTCAGCCATAAAAAGGAATGCTAGGGTGGATGAACCTAGAGCCTATTATACAGAGTGAAGTAAGTCAGAAAGAGAAAGAAAAATATTGTATACTAACACACATATATGGAATCCAGAAAGATGGTACTGATGAAACTATTTGCAGGGCAGCAATGGAGACACAGACATAGAGAACAGACTTATGGACATGGTGTGGGGGTGGGGAGGAAGGAGAGGATGAGATGTATGGAGAATAACATGGAAACTTACATTAACACATGTAAGATAGGTGGTCAATGGAAATTTGTTGTATGACTCAGGGAACACAAACAGGGGCTCTGTAACAACCTAGAGGAGTGGGATGGGGAGGGAGATGGGAGGGAGGGTCAAGAGGGAGGGGACATATGTGTAGCTATGGCTGGTTCATGATGATGTTTGGCAGAAACTAACAAAATTCTGTAAAGCAATTCTCCTTCAATTTAAAAATAAATTAATTAAAAAAAAAGGAAAGTCAA